AACAAAACAAAAAAAGGAGTCAACTATGGTTTCCAAAAAACCGTCTTGCGTTTTTCTATATTATGCATGTGGCTTTTGCAGACGTTATATCACAGTCATAATGTTCGAGCTACTCTTTGGATATTACATTTGTTATATATTTTTTGCCGGTGTTTGTTTAAAATGATTTTTTTTTTTATGTTTATAACAAACAAGATATAAATTACGGAGAAATAAAGACACAATGTAGGGGTCTACACTTCTACCAAGACAAAGGTAACCTGCCTTCCCACGTTAGTCTTCACTACATACATTTTCTTTTTTTTTTTTCACTTCCACTTCAAGTTCGGTGTTAATACCTAGATAAGAATAATTCACACTCTAAGAAAAAGTAAAGTTAATATATTATCAGAATGAGCAATTAGATGAAGCCAGATATCCCAACATTCATGAATAGAAGGTAGGGAAATAAATAGCAGCAATGCTTGCTCCCCGCCCCCTCAACCCCAAAAAGAAATTTTTTATTAAAAAAAAAGAAGCAATGCTTCTCCTTAGAACATATATATTCGGAAAAGACCAGGTTCTGACCCAATGAAAATGGCGTGATGCTTGGTATTTTTGAACACATTGTCCCTGATTTAATTTCATACTTGGGGGTCTTGGTCAAAAAAAAGAATTCATACTTGGGGGGGGGGGGGGACGCCTCACATCATAACCCAAGCCACAAAACGCGTTGCTAATACAGACTTAAATATATATATATATATAATATTTCACAACGCAACATTAGTTATTCACACGGCTCTTCTTTGGAGATGTTTACAAATTTGTACGTACCATAGAATGTAAAGGGGATGACGACAAATCTGTGTCTGCGGCTGTGTGTTAGCAGTGATATCATCACTGAAGATTAGGTATATAGAGTAGTGGGTCTCCATTCATGAGGTTGTGAGAGGACGTTGCATGGGTGCTGAAATTTCTGACATTTCAGCCCTTTATTTTCTTTTACTTCTTATGGTCTTTTATTTTCCCCCAATAATCAGAGCACAATCCAGTATTATGTCTGTGATATGCAAAATAAATAACGTATACATTGCTGCATGAGCACTAAATATGAGGATTACTCCTGTTTTAAAATCAAAGTAGCATTATATAAATTTAACACTAGGATATGTTAAGATTACGGCCATCACATTTTATTTGAACAGATTGGAAAGAGAGATCCATCGGCCATATGTTTGGACCGCTCATAGCCTTGGTGTGGTTAATCAGTCCAAACCGTGTCTGGAATTGAATTTCAAACCGGCAAAACATACGGGTAAACAGGGAAAAGGCATCTTCGAAGTTCAAAACCAACAAGAAAGCATCATTATTAATATTAAACATGAAGGAGATCACCAAGAAATAAGTGAAATATGAAATACAAAATTAAAGAAGCGTTGTACTACCATGTTAGAATTTAGAGGTCCACTACGTCGTATTCATACAGATGGCTCTCGAGAAGGAGAAGAGGAACTTCATTTTAAAATGACTAGGCATTGAAATTTGCATAAAATCAAATATGGAGCAACGATCGTCTGCATTTTCTCTTTCTTTCTTTCTTTCTTTCTCTGTCTCCTACTTGAATGGTTATCAAATTTACCACTACAATAATGATATGATATTAGATGTTCCAAGCTTGAAAGACAAAGTTGGTAACCTATCTTTATTTTATTTGGGTTTTTCAAGATCTTGGGTGAGGAAAGAACTGCGTACCGCTGCCAGACATGAAAGTGCCAAGCGAGGCCGCATACAAGGAAGGATCGAGGAGCGGACCAGCGGAGGAACCCCCGGCGGCGGCACCACCGCTTGTTGTGGCAGCGGGAAGAGCAGAAACACCGGTGGCGGCAATGAGGTTGAGAGGCTGAACGGCTCCACCGGGAGAGGTATCAGCGGTGGACGTGTAATTGGGATCGGGGCCATGGTCGTAGAGAATTCCTCTGAATACGTGGCCTCCGATGTTCACAGCCGTTTGGTACGCGTATTGCTCGTCAGCCTCGTCCATGGGGCTAACCCGCACGCACCGGAACTCCGCGGAGGAACTCACCACTGCTGGAAAATTCCCATGCTCTAACCCTTCTTTAATATTATAAATGGGGTAGAGATGAGCAAACAAAAAGATATTATTATTGTTTGGCAGCTGAATTAGATTTGGATTTGAGATACGAGATGCTAATGATATGGGATCCTTCGAGGGCAGGGAAATGAATTTTTTAAATGAAAAATAAGGAACACAGATATCAACAAAGAAGGAATGTGAGTGTGAGTGAGGATGAGGGAAGAAAGAGGAGAGTCACAGAGACACGAATAATTGAGACACACACAAAGAGGAGAAACAGTTTCTTCGCTGTCAATCTATTCGTCAGGGCTACTAAACAACAGTGTCTTTGGAAAAGGAAAAGGGAAAAGAAACAAACAAGGAAAGAAAAAGCTGGTGAATACGAATTTAGGGGGAGGGAGGGGGGTTGGAGTTGCTTCACACGCAATCGATAACTTGAGAACTTTCTCAGTGAGTGTGATGGATCTTTTTCAGAGAATTTCTGCGAGATTCTGTTGTGTCTAAGAGTGGATCACAGAGACTGCGAGTAACAAGACAAAACATGAATGCTAAGAGTACCTGCTGATGAAGAGTGAGTGGGTATTTGCACATGAGTTGAGGTGCTGGGGTTATTATTAGAAGTATCTCTCAGCCTCTTGGGATTGTTGTCTCCTCGAAGCTGAAGTTGCTGCTGCTGCTGCTGGTGTCGCTCGCGTCGCTTGGCCGCCGGAACCCAAGTGCTCTTCAGATGCGTCTGGCAGTCGTAGCCACGGCTCTTGCAGCAAGTCCTGCACCGCATGTGTGGGCAGTCCTTCTTCGCCTGGTTCCCACAGTCTTGGCAGCTTATTCCTCCGCCGCTGCTCCCGCCGGCGGAACGCATCATCATGACGCCCGATCTCGACGAAGACTGATCATCGGAGCTCCTGCTGCTCGGCCCCACCCCTAAGGAGTAAAGATCTTGGTGGAGAAGCGGCCTCGCCTGAGGAGGCATGACCGGCTGGTGCTGCTGGTTCCACAGCTCGAAGCCTCTGTAACAAGATACGTCTTCATTATTCTTGTACCAAAATAAGGCGTCTGGATGAGGAACTCCAGTGGGTGGGTTATTGTGGTGGGGTTCGTCGTCCTGGTTGCTCCCTCCTCCCCTACCTCCTCCGCCGCCTAGTGAGAACAAACCCGCCATTGTTTAGCTTCCTCTATACCTGACCTAGACCTCAATTGTGGCCAATAATCCATATCAGAGACGACTCGATCTTTGTGGATATTGTATGGGGAAACCAGATAAGAAAGAAGAGGAGAAAAAATGGCGAAGTAACTATTGGTTGAATTAATTCTCTGGGTAGTGAGCCTTGAATGAGGAGAAACAAGGAGTAAATTGGAGAATTCTCGGGTTTTGGTGAGGGTATGAGCGTGTAGTAAGCGATGGGGGTGTGTGTGTGTGTGTCTCTCTCTCTCTCGGGTTTTGGTGTTTTGTGGGAAATCTCAAAGAGCGTGCTGGGCAGCTAATTAAGGGAAGGTGTTTGATGGGGATGATATGGTTGGATTTTTGGGTGGGGAAGAGGATCAAATTGGAGCTCGTTGTTGGTTAAGGACAGGCGTCCAGCAGCGTTTCAATTCGCTCCTCCTCCTGCTCCGCCTTCTTCTTCTGCTGCTGTATCGCAGCGTGTATATGCATTAATACGAACAATTAAACGCCCCACCACCCCACAATTACACCTTTCTCTGCTACTGCAACTGCAACGCCGCCATCCCCATCTTCTCTTTCTCCCTCCTCTCTTCCCTATTTAAGTTCCCCAGCTCATCTCTCTCTCTGATCTTCCTGCAGAGTTTCTTTCTCCCTTTTCTTTATTTTTTTCGAGTTCTGAGCAGTTTCCCTTTTGTGTCTGTGGTCTGTAGCACAACAAAAACAAACTCACTCTCTCTTTCTCTCCCTCTCGCGATGGGAATGGATGTCAATGATCTGATCTCTGGTGGGGATCCTTATTGGCATCGCGATCCGACGGCGGATCAGGAGTCCACGTGGCACGGGAGCAGCTTTCTGCGTCCTCCTCGTCCTTTTCCACCGGAAAACCCGCTGCTTTTCCTCACACGTTGCCCTTTTTCTGCTTCATTAACTATAAACTATGTGTGTTGGATTTTTCTTTTTTTTTTTTTCGCCCTTTCCATCATAATTATTTTGTTCCCATTCATTCAACGCGTCCATGATATGTTTATCTTTGTTTTTCGGATTTATTGCTCCTTCTCATGTTTAGTGTTCCCTTTCGAGTGATTAACTTTTTCCCAGGCGCAACGATGCTAACAAAAATCCCTCGTCCTTTCCCGGGGACATCTTTCTCAGCATAAAGGGGAATCGATTGGCAAACCGACCGAAGATATATAGGATATATAATGAACCAGGCATCATAAATTGTGTATTTTAGTTTAGTTTATTTGGGAAGCAAAGGAATGAGTGTGTGTGTGTGTATATAGATATATGATATTAAAAACTGGAGGAAATTCCTTTTAATTCGAACAGAAAATCAGTTTAAAAAGGGTTCTTGTTGTTGTTGCTTTTGGAGCTCTTGGGGGTGTGGGGGGGGAGCATAAGTGGATGAGTGTGATTAAAGTGGGGATTATGTTGCGAAGTTAGGGTCTTTTTGGGGGGTGGGTTTAAGATGAAGTGGACAGGTGGAGGGGTTTGTGAAGAAGGGCCTGTTGGGTAATCTAAAGAGAAGCAGAACGGGTAACACATATTTACTTCGTAATCCGTAGCACTGAAACCATAGTTTGATTAAGAAGAGAGAAAGGGCAGGGAAGCAATATTTCCCAGACTAATTAAAGAGATGAATTTAGGGATTAATCATGTGGGCGGCAACATGATGTGGCCATAGAGGGGAACAGAGCGCCACCACCCCCATCCTTCCTGTTCTGTTTTTTTTTTTTTTTTGGTAGGACTTGAGGGTGAGTTTCAATCCCTTTCATGGTTGGACTCTTACCGCACTATTTAATGAGTAGGCTTAATAGTCCTATTAATGCTGTGGGAGGGGACCATCTCTCCTGGTTTATTTCCATCATTCCTTTTTCCTCTTTTACGTTTAAACCCTCACTTCCGTCTTCCTATTCCCTCATCCCCCCCCCCCCAAACAAAAAAAAATTCTCCTTTTTCCCCCCTCTTCCCGGCTTCCCCCTTATTTGTATCCTGGACACTAATTTTATATGTATGTATATTTCTCTCCTTAGTACCATCCTCGTATCTTTATTCTCTCATACGTATAAATCTTACAACTAAAATACCAGTACTTCCACACTTTAACAGCCCATGTTCAACCTTTTTGATAAATAAACATCCATGTATATTTAATTATACTGAATATCAAGGGATAAAGGAGTGTGTGGGCGTGTGAAATATAAATAACTGATGGTAGATATAACAAGAAGGTAGTCCGTTTTAGAATGAGGGGGAAAAGGAGGGGAGAGAAAGGGGCGGCGCATGGAGGGGACTTGGTGGCGTACCGTAGGGGAAAGCGGCGGCAGCACGCCATCCACTGCAACTCCCCAAACCCCCTCCGCGTCATCTCCCTCTCCTCTATTTTTAATTCTCATATTCAACCCCACTCAATTGATTAATTTCAATTCCCCCCGCCCCAACGATCAAAATCCCTCCCTCGTATAGAAATCAGATGCATGACTATAGACTCGTTCCCTCAAAACAAAAGCCCCCGGTTGGCCAAAAAAAAAAAACAAACAAACAGACGCCCCGATCTCATTTCTGAAAGGGATCCAAATCACACATCCAACCTTCCTGTGCTTACGTATTCTTCCTCGGACAAACACGTCACCCATGATCTCCCTTCTTTCGTGTTTTCTTCTTCTTTATTTGGAACGCAAACAAACGACGTATGCGTCGTTCTTTTATGATTTTGATTTCGATCGAGTTCTCACTCTAAGCATTCATATATGCGAAGATTACAGCTCAGACCAAGACATAAACATATTATGGTAGAATTTTTCTCCTTTTTGCAATTTTTTCTTCGGCCCAAGAGTGTTGAAGATGTTTGCCAAGTCTGCACAAGAACAACATGAAATCTGTCTTTCATGTTTTATATTGCGTTCTGACTTGTCTTTTCTGCACCTTTTTTCTGCTGTAATATAATTTTTTTTAGCAATTTCCTCGTAATCCTAACCAAGCAAGAGAATTAAATAAGAAGAAAAATAACAACTGAACTGCGGGTCGTACCATTTTTTTTCAAACTTATTCGCGGCGATGCGGTCGCAGTTACTGCTTCTCTCTGGTCTCCACGCGTTTCTCATTATTCTGAATAATAATAATATTCTCCGTATCTTTAATATAAGACTGATTTAATTAATTTAATTAGATTTAAAAAGTTAGATAAATTAGTTAATTATATAAGAAGTGTGATATATTTTTCTTAAAACACCATAATCATCTTTTTTAATACCTTCTCAACGTGATTATAGTTGAGAGCGTATTTATAAGGGTAGTTTAGATAAAATTGATAAATATAAGAAGTAGGGTTTATATTTAGAATCAAAATCAACTCAATAATTAAGTCATATATTAAAGATCGGAAAAATAATATAATTCGAATTCTTAGAATTAAGCGCTTTGTCGTCCCACACGGGATCGCTCCTCCTGGATGACGTGCACCCTAGTGTCCTCTGGCTTCTGCATCCGATCGCCACCGTTTTCGTCTCTAAATTGACGCAACACGCAATTTCATTATTATCAACCCCCGAGATTGGAACATCCCTTTGCACTCGCGGTGCACAGAGCTCTGGTACTAAAAATTAAAAGGACCTGATTCCTCCCCAAGGATGCCACCCAGTGACCATTCTCATCAATATTTAAAGTTTAACTAAACCATGCCAAAGTTTCATCCCCCTCCCCCCAAACAAAGAAAGATTCAATTCATTATGACAACAGTGTTTTTCTACTTATTTATATCGGTTCATTTTTTCTCAAAATAATTCCACAGTTTGTGACGAGTGAAGTGTGGCGTATATGTGCATGCATATATAGGAGGGTCGAATTAAAGATATAATATGATTCTGTATTGAGGAATGAAATGCACGAGGGGGGGAGATACTGGTTAGAAATGAAACACATTGTACGGACGAAAAGGATGTGGGGGTACTGGTTGGAAAGCAGTTGGTACCCACTGACCACTGGCATTAAGCCAAGTGATTAGATGACTTTGTCGGGTGTCCCTCGAGAAGTAGACACGTGTCGCAGTACGCTTGATTTAAGAGGAGATTAAAGGGGAGATGGGAAGGAGATTGGGTTAAGAGAAGGCAATAATAAGGACATGATGGCCTTAAAAGAGACGCATGTTAAGACTGGGCCACCCCCGAGGGATGCCTGAGAATGAAGTATATCTCGTATACGCCATACCATATGGCGGAACGTGAAAATGACGGATTGTGCTATTCAATACTCACACTGGCACCACTATTGCCTTTACTCGTATATAAATATATATATATATATATATATCTGTGTGTGTGTGCGGCTGCCATTTGTATTTTATACAGCGTTCTCACTTGATAAAAATCTAGCAACATTATTCATAAGTAATGCCACGTCGGTCTTGAAAAGATATAAGAGCAGTGACGCTTCTACATATGGTACTTGGAATTGACCATTCCTCCCAGGCCCTCCAAACTTTATCTGGTTTTTCCTATAATGCATATGTTGGAAACGTGGGGCAGAGCTTGAAAATGAAGGTAATAAAAAATAAAAAAAAAAGGAGCCAAATCTTGACTTCAAAGCCTAAATATTTAAGTTTATATAGGTCATTTAACTTATACTGGATTATATAATTATATATCACTTATTATTAAGCCAACTCATATTTGATGTGATGAGATTTCGCATATTATTATTAATTAGTTTAAGCTCATTCACAAAATTGAACAGAAAAATGTTCTAAAATTGAGGTGGGTTTAGACAGAGAATATGTGGTTAGATATAAGTGCATGGAAAAAGGAACATTTGACATACATGGGAGTATATATTAAAGGAAGGTATTGAGTTGAAGTTGATGTTGAATGAATATATGCCACCAGCAGGCAATCCACTTGGATATTGATATGCCAATATTATTACTCAAAAAAGTGGGCGCCCCCCATTCCCCAGCTAACTATGACCCACCTTTTGATCAGAAGGCCACCCCCAGTTAATTAAAAATGCGTGAAATATAAAGCACAAACAGTTAAACACGCATGCACGCACATTATAATAGGAAGCTCACGATCCTTCCACATTTTCTATTCCCATACAGTTCTCAGCTTCAAGTGCGGTGGATCATATATATACAGACACACACACACACAAACACTGATTCCCACGTCATTTTAATTCTAATTTAATGTCAACCCACCTCACTAAAACGTCATTCCCACATAATCATCCAATTCACTACAAACTAAACGAGCTTTTCTTGCTCATTTATTTACTACACAAAATTTAATTCGATCAAGTGTAGTTAATTGAGTGTTCGGGGAATAGACGTCGATGTTGCCAGCGCGATGAATTCCTTTTTTGTTTTTTTTGGATAGTTAAGGACATGAAATAATTATGGTTTTTTGTCGAGCTGATGGGTTTCATTAAATAAATGATTATGTAGTCACAGTAGTCCAGTTGGGTTGTTTGGTGAGCAATGACTTTTCCCCAACAATTCAATAGTCAACAACGATTTGATATCTTATAGATACAAAAGAAACAATATTGACCCGACAAACTCACATAATTTACAGTCACTCCTTGTCATTCATTTGTCTCTTCAACTGTCCATTCAATCGAGTGCTGTGTAATGTGTATGCACCCAAACACGCGCGCCTATGTACGTGTGCCAGGGGCCTCCCGCCTCCATTATATGCGAATTGCAGAAATAGAGTTTCTAATTACTCCCTCTACTCTTAATTATAAAATTTTATTTATAATTTATAAATAAAGTTTTATAATTAATATTAGAGATAATAATTTTTTAATTAATAAGATAAATATATTGTTAATTCTACTCGAATTTTTAAAAGTTTCAGTGGTTTAAAAACGGAACTCAGATTTTAGTCCTCACAATTATCTGATCATATCTACGGTATTCTCGTATTGTTGTATACGAATAATTAAAAAAACACGTTATAATTTTTAAAGAGCACCCTGCACGAAATGCTGCTGAGAAACAAAATATTATTATAAATTTACTTTTTTATGTAACATATTTAAAATGAGGAAAGACGCAAATGGCACACCCTTAAAATGCAGCGCTGAAAGGCGATTATTCCTGATGCGACAAATAAAGAAGGATTCGATATCGAATTATAAAATATTATGCCTCCCTCTGTTCGAGAGGCTAAGCACTGCTCCCTTGTTTACATTATTATTGAACAACAATAATACTCATTGAAAAGGGAAAGAAAATTAGAAAGAAGGAAAGAGAAGGAAAGCTAACCCAACCCGTCACATGGCATCTA